TGTTATGTGAATTGTCATCTTTGAAATACGTTATATGAATTTTTTCTTTTTGGGGGGGATTTTCCCCCCTGAGCTCAGTGAATTTAGAATCCAAAAATTTAAAGCCAGCCCTTATCAGAGGGGATGATGAAGAACAATAAGCTCTACAATCAGGATCAAGACAATAACAGGCATCAAGTGTACCCTTTGGAGGCCACAGCTGTATGTTGAGGATGGGTGGGTAGAGATGAGGGGTAAGAGAGATGGAGGGGTGAGCATGTGGGGGGCACGGTCCCATCTCATTCTGCTTGTTGGCTCATTCTATATAACTTTCTAACAGAGTCTACCACAATATAGATAATCCCAAATTAGTGGGAGGCAAAGTTCCATTTCCATTGTCAGGGGTTGAATCTGAGGGATTCTACAGTGAGGAACACCAAGAGTTTAGAACAGTTTAGATCTGTGCCATCCAATACGGTAGCCACTATCTGCATGTGGCTATTGAGCACTTCATATGTGGCTGGTCTGAATTGAGACATGCTGTAAGTGTAAAACACACATTTTGAAGACTTAGTATGAAAAAAAGTAAAATATCTTAATTAAAAAATTGATTATATGTTGAAATGATAATATTTTGAATATATTGGATTAAATAAAATATATTATTAAAACTAATGTCACCTGTTTTTTACTTTCTTTACTGTGGCTACTAGAAAATTTAAAAGTACACATGTGGCTCACATTTGAGACTCACATTATATTTCTATTGGCTCATCCCATGTTTTCCCTAAAGCCCATAGGAATAGTGCCAGTTACCCAGAATATGTATAAATACTGGCTGAACGCATTAAGTCGGGCTGCTTGAGGAGGGTGCTTAGACTAAGAATTGGTAGACTCCATTTTCTCCAAGCAAAGTGTTTTGTACATTTAGGCAAGAATTTGAGTATCTGTATAGCCACTAGCAGTGGGGAAAGTGATGAAAATGTGTAGGCTGTTGATTTGCTTGAGGCAAGTGTTGGGTCCCCAGCTGTATTTACAGTCTGTTTCAATGAATAAACACCACTTTAGTTGGGCCAGCCCAAATGTTTATTTCTTTGAAAACACCATTTTCAAAGCACAAGCACTTGTTTCATAGTCTGTTTTAGGCAGGCAGGTCCACGTGATTTTTAAATACTTCCTTTGCTCACACGACTTGGAACTTTGGAACTGTACCAACTGATTGGCCTCTGAGTCCTTACCTCATGTTTAGAAGTGGTTTCCCAGATTTTTTTTTTCTCCCAATTTGGGAAGTGAGGACAGCAAAGGGATTAAAGGTTTAATAAGCACTTTGTCTAACAGGTCTGCATTCTTTAAAATGATTCTTCAAAAACTTTGCCCTGATCTTTTTTTTTTTTATTGTACTTCAGGTGAAGGCTTACAGAACAAATATTTTCTCATGAAACAGCAGTACACATATTGTTTTATGACATTGGTTAACAACCCCACAGCATGTCAACCCTCTAACTTCTCAACCTTTTTTTTT